CATTGAGGGCGGTCTTCCCGACAGCTATGAAAAGTACTACCAGAGAAAGGTGGACAACATTCGGCCTTGTCTGAAGGAATTTGTTTCGTATGTAGCTCAGAGCACCCGCGATGTGACCTGCAGAACGGCTAATTTGGAGCTGCTAGGATCATTCTTTCCTGTATCGTGCACGCAAAACGTCCATTACGTCTGGATGAGCTTTGCGAATGCACGGCGATGTTGAAAGGTCTTGAGGGGCAGAATATCGATAGGAGCCAAAAGATCAAGAAAAGCAAGGTATTGGAGCTGTGCCAGCCTCTTGTCCAGATTCATGAAAGTGATGGGCCAGCCGGCACCATCTCAATCTGCACGCTGACCCATGGCTCGGTCAAAAGCTTTCTGCTGAAGAATCCAGAGATCTTGGCAAAAAACTCCAATCCACCAGCATATGCGCTCACAAACGATGTTTTGGCGGACATATGCCGAAAATATCTTCTGCAGCCACGATATCAGCAGCTTCTTACCAGGGACGGTGAAACATTTGTCGATTACGATGGGGAGGACATTTTCAACCACCATCTTCTTTCTTATGCCGCCAAGTATTGGGATAAGCACCTGGATAGCGTCGACTATTCATTGGAATATTGCCAGAAAACCTCCAGTTTGATCAGAAGCTCGCACTTTTTCACATTGCTGCAAGTCCAGAGCCTTTTTGTCGACGGTATGTTCTATAAAGCTTTTAGCTTGCGAAGGACCATATTAACTAATGAGAGATACAGGCCAATTTCGCTTTTGGTACAGTACTAATCGTCCCTGGGCTGGCAGACATATTAGACGTGTATTTCCTCATTGGTTGGATGATAATTGCAATGAGCCCTTCGCAAAGGACTATGGGTCCTTTGTGGGTGAGTGGGGGCCTTTGTTGGACCGTGAGACCAGTGTCACAGGCGCCTTCCCTGGTGAAATTGATAGATGCTTTTTTGGGGCCTTGGGACCCAACAACTACCTTCACAAGGGACTCAGCCGGTACCGAAGTCTGATGTTTACGGCGGAGGCTGAGCCGCATGACCCCCCAATTCGGTACTTTGAAGGGGTTGACGAAACGGGAACGTGCCTGACAGTAGTAAAACTGGAATCAATGTAAGTTCCATAGCCACAAATTGCCATTGCCGATGGCTTATCGATGATTTTAATACGAGTAGTAGCGGAGAAAAGCTAAAATTTCTTTGCGAGCATTGGCGTATGAGTGGTCGCAAGTCCGAGCTTCAAAGGACTCAAGAGCTGTTTGCATCCGCCTCGACCTGGTCACTTTATGAGTATCCCTTGACAGAGCTTGTTCCGGGCCGACCTCGTCTGGTTTCATTTACCAAAGATTTACAATTCATGCGCATTGGGTCTCAGTTGTTTATCAAAGGCGTGGACCATGAGTATACGTCCCTTCCTGTGACTGATCCAGACGAAGATTATTTCGATGAAATGGCCAGCAACAACAATATGGTTGCCGTGTCAACAAGACGGCAGGTCTCTAAGTCCGAGGTGGAAATCCCAGGGGCAGTTACTGGCGATGTGAAAATTATTGATTTTGGGGACATAGCAATCCAAGAACGAGAACAGAAAGTAAACGAATTGGACCAAGGAAGTACGGCTGCCCCAACTTCAACTGCTGATACACAGCCGACAACTACTGTCACGAAAAGCAGTGATGACGACAGCGATAGCGGGACCATCGACACTGATATCACATCTGAGTCCTCACTGAAGCTTGAAGACCCAGATGAGCTTCAACCAACGTCCGAGAGGGACAAGGCGCTGGAACTCGCAACAAGAGTGTCGGACTGTACAGACGAACTATTGAAAAGCTCTTCCGAGTCTGCCGGGAATTCGGCTTATACCTCCTGGAGTGAGGGATCCACTGATCTTGATTATGAGATGGAGGACGAAGAGCAATGGAATGACTGGGATCTTGAAAATCTGGACCAGGAAGAGCTTGACGTCGAAGAGAAGGGAAGCTTCCTTGGGAGCGACAACGATGGCTACAGTAGCGGTGATGAGAGGAAGAATGCTTTGGAGCTACACGATGATTTGGACAGTGACCTTTGGGAGTCAGATAAAGAGAGTGACGCATTGGAAAAGAGAGATGAAATGCTACCGTCGGACTCTGAAGGTAGTGACATTGAGAGTGTCGGTTCGTCGACGAACTACATCGACTTTGGCAGCGAAGACGGCTCGGAAAATGAAGACCGTGGTATACTCGAAAATCTGATGACCGGAAATAACACCACAAGCACCGAGGGAACTCGTCGCACAAGTATTCGCGTCTACGATGCTACCAGAAAGAAACGCATCCCCGTATTCCATTTCACGTGCTTTATCAAAGACAGGTTATTCGACTCACCTCCAGTGTTCCACCCATCCAAGCCCCTTATAGTCTGGCCATTGGGCGATGGGGAGATTCTGTTTGCCAACTACGAGAGGAACACCTACTTCACCCGTGGGCTATGTCGTTCGGGCTATGGAAGCTGCCACATCTTTATTAAGGCACACTTTTCGGGTGACGGTCAACATCTGCACCTCGCGGCATTGGAAGCTCGTGAGGCCACCAAACCAGACAAGGAAGAAGCGTCCATACTTCTAAGCCTACAGGTCTCGACACACCGGCTGTCCGAGCATAAGACAGCTAATAGCCCGCCGCGACTGATCTTCCGCACCACTGTTGAGCTTGGTAGCACCCCTAGGTTGTCCGTGTCCAGTCTCCCTCACTTCCTAACGTGGAGCGACACACACCTTTTCTTCACAAGCCGCAACGCAAAGCTCGACGTCCTTCGAATTCCCCTCTTCCGTCCCGCGGGCGACAAAGTGGACCTGAATATCTGCTCCCTACAGGAACCCATCCTTTTGCCACGTTCAATCGAAGCACGAAACATGTACTTTTTCCCATCCCAGGGAACAACGAAAAAAATCCCACGGAAAAAAGAGACGAAGTCAGCAACGCTTATTCTAGGTGCACAGACCTGTCTTCCAAGCCAGGGCATACTGGTACCCCGGCATATGTGCTATCCTCCGATCGCAGTGTTTCTGCGTGAGGACAAGGATCTGATCTGGGCTTGCAAGTCGTCTAATGATGAGGCTAGAAAGATCAACAATGCTTGTGGAAGGCTGAGGGGGAAGTTCGAGTCGTTTGATCACAACGAGGATTGTGATATTATTCCGTATTTGTTTTGATGTGAGCTAAACTGGCTGAACTTCAGATCTGTTGCCCCTCTAGGGAGGACATTCCACTACAGGATATCTTCATTTCAACCTTGTAATTTGTGAAAAGCACACTCGGAATTGGATTATGAACTTGATTATAGTGGGTGTATGGAGCTAATATAGTTGTAGAAGGAGCTCAAATTTTCTGGGCCTGGCAACCATCTATGAAGCAAGTCAGGAATAGTGCGCCTCGCATAGGAAACTTTGAATGGCCCTAGATATCTATCATTGCCCAGTACTCGGCACTAGTTGCCTGCCGACTGCCCCATCTCGTTGTGACATCGGTCCAGAGTGCTTTATTCCCCCCCTCCCCCGATGATCCTCATATATCTAACCTAATCAATCACAGATGAAGATTTCCCAGCAGCACCGTGCATCACAGGGAGGGGCTTTTTTGTTTTCCTTCCCCGACTTCTCCTTCGTCTTTCTCTCCCTCTCTCTTCCTCCCCCTTCTTGTGGAATGGAAGGTTGCGTACGAAATCTGTTTCTATTATAGTAAGGTAACTCTTACACTGAGTACATCATTACTGGATGGCCCTCCTTTGTTGAAAGCATCCCTTGAAGCATAAACAAATGCTAATTACAGAATTATCGTACAAGAAAACCTGGAAGAAGAACCAAGTAATAGAGAAATCAGTCATCAACTTACCAGTACCCGATGTTTGGGACATGTAGTAAGAAAGCCATCAAATCTTACTAAGAGATAGTAGCGACTCCTGGAAAATAGAAATATCGTTTATCTCAAAGTGCAAACTTCAGATACAGAAGGAGGACTGGTTCTAGTACGGGTAGAGTTGTGAGCAGTGGCGGGATTCAAACCCGCAACCACTGAGTCTAGCTCCCCCCCGGGTTATGTCCTCAACTCAGTGCCAGCAGTGGTGTTTTTCTACTATTGCAAGACCATCACGGACCTTTCAATATACGTACTTCATCTCAAGCTATAAGAAACTTCTATCTCATCAGTCCCCAGGGCATCTCATTGTCCCCAGCGTTCAGCATTACCAGGACCTTTCCAAGGAGTCGTATTTTAACACTCCTTCTTTTCTCTTGTTGTCACCCAAAAATCAGCATTACTATGCGCTACAGTTCTACTGTAATTTCACTGGCTGCTTTCGGCCTGCTTGGTAGTACTAATAAAGCCTCTTCCCGCAGCTCAGGTCGCTGGGTCAACCTCGCCTCCATCCCCACTGCCCGTCAAGAGCATGGCCCCGTCGCCATCACTCTTCAAAACAATAGTACCATGATGGTGACCGACCTTGTTCAGCTCTACGACATCGCCTCCACTACCTGGCGCACTGAAAACTCTGACAGCGTTCAAGGTTATATTCCTTGACCTCATCAATCCCGTTATCTAAAATGCTAGATAGAGGCCAGTGCGCCTGAATTGCCGCAACACCCATAAGGTGTGGAGCATAGGGTTTTTATCCGCCCCAGTCACACACCTACAGCCCACTGAGAAGACTCATTTGCTCATGAACTGCTTCCCATTGGCCGAGTACGCTTTACACCAGATACCAACCAGTGCCAATATCCGTATCAATTGAGGGGAAGGAGGCTACGAATTCTGGCAGCTGCCATTCGGGCCGCAGGGTGTTTCCGATAATCCGATAATCCGGGAATCCGATGAACATGTCCATATTATCAATAGTCTACAACATTTCGGAGAAGATATAAGGAGGCATTGGCACAGCACAGAGTAAAAAAATCATCCATCTTCATAAGTTCTTCATTTATTACACTATATTCAACTCAATTCAATTCAATTCAATATGGTCGGCTTTGACATGCGTGGCTTGACCCCGGCTCCGGTGACTCCCTTCACGCCGGACGGTGCAGTCGACTACGAAGCTATCCACCGGCTTGGTTCTTGGCTTGGGGGAATCGAAGGAGTGAAGGGACTGGTTGTGCTTGGTCACGCTGGCGAAGGCACCTTTCTCACCACTGAAGAGCAAATCTCCGTCATCAAGGCTTTTGTGAAGTCGGTGGACAACAAGATTCCAATCATTGCTGGAATCACTGGTGAGGGCACCGAAGTGGCCGCATTAGAAGCGAAGCGTGCCAAAGAAGCTGGCGCGGCTGCTGGCTTGCTCTACCCATCTCATGGCTGGCTGCGCTTCGGATATCAGCCCGGTGCTCCTCAAGATCGATACCGTCGTGTCTATGAGGTTTCTGGTCTGCCGTTGATCCTTTTCCAATATCCAGACAACACCAAAGCAACCTACAATCTGCAGACTATGCTTGATATTGCTGCTCAACCTGGATGTTTCGCTATGAAGAACGGCGTGCGCAACATGCGCCGATGGGATACAGAAATTCCCATTATTCGGGCTCAGCGTCCTGACCTACAAATTCTTTCTTGTCACGATGAATACCTATTGCATACTTCATTTGACGTCGACGGTTTCTTGGTGGGCTACGGTAACATCGCTCCCGAGCCTCTAATTGAGCTTATCAAAGCTGGCAAGGCCAAGGATTACATCAAGGCACGAGCTATCCATGATCAGCTCTTGCCGGTTACGAAGAGTGTGTATCATCGAGGATCCCATATGGAGGGTACGGTCGCTCTCAAACATGCTCTTGTTGCTCGGGGGATTTTGACCCACGCCACTGTTCGATCGCCCCTGCTGCCCCTTGAGGATGGTGCAGAGCAGGAAATTCATGCTGCCATCAGTGCTGCGTCGCTCAACAAGGTGGCTTTTTGAAAAGGAATGTCCAAGTACAGGTTTGTATATGAAAGTGTTGAGCTAGAATGTACATGGGAGCGAATATAATAATATCCATTGGCCAGTGATCAATTGAGGCAGTATCTGTAACAGTGGTAGTATTAATCGTAAAGATCAGTGTAAGGCCACCTTGTACACTCAACGACTATCCGAGAGAATTAATTACCTTGGGTGAGCCATGGCTCAGGTTTGGCTGTCCTCGTATTCTGGACCGACTACTAACCCTGCGATCTCGGACCCCCGGCTATGCTCGGCTATTCGACTCCCTCCCTTCCTTCTATTTGGTCTGCAAATCCGGCATTTCCGTCCCCGCCCTCTCTCTCTCTTTGCGCGACACAAGCACCTGCAACAATCATGGCATCCCCCCATTCATCACAGGGCTCTTCGGTAGCGCTAGATCCGCTCAGAGCCTCTCTAGGGAAGCGCCCCTTGGCAACAATTAATGACGACGGGGACGATGAGAATCGTCGGAAAGATCCAAAAATCACGAGGGCTTGTGATACCTGCAAGAGAAAGAAGATCCGCTGTGATGGTACACTTCCATGCAGGAATTGCGCGAAAAGAAAGCTCCATTGTTTTTACAACGCCAAATACAATCGGGGTCGGCCTCCTACTCCACCACCTTCCACGACGATCACTGAGCAGCAGGCCAGACGGCAAATTCATCGCTCAGAGCAGCCTTCTACTCGACAGCATTCAGGGCCACCTGCGCATCATGCCCCCGAAACCCAAGTTCCATCTCGCGCGTCACCAGAGGTCGAAATTGAGGGGCAATATTCTGACCCTACATCTGGATTGAACTTCTTGCATAGAGCATGGAAGAAACTGTCGACACAAAACGACGAATCAGCACTGTACCACTTGAACAACGCGGGAAGAGACCAACTGCTCAACTCAGCCGGAGATCCCCCATTTCATGTCGATGATGCAGCTCTAGACGATGTGATACCAATTGCCTCCGTGGCGAGAGAATTGCAAGAGTTCTATTTTGAAACGTGTGTGGTGACGTACCGTATGTTCCATCGACAAGTCGTAGAAGGTTGGATGGACATATTCTTGAACAATCGACAAGAACGGCGGCCGATTACCCGTTCGCTAGGAAATCCTAGGACTGCAATCCTGCTTACTATAATGGCTATCGCCTCTCTACGCCGTGATAAAATCAATGGAGAAAGCTCACAAGATAACGACTTGAATGGCTTACGCAGAAGTGATCGGTTGTTCTGCGCAGGCATGAAATTGACTGACACGGAGATGGGGTTCCCACGACTCGAATCTGCGCAGGCGCGGATCATCCAAGTTCTATATCTTCTTCAAACGGCTCGTATGAACAAAGCGTGGTATACATTTGGTAATGCGTTTCATGTAACTCTCTCCCTCGGCATGCACAGGCGACGAGACCAGAGGAGAGACTTCCCTTTCACGGGGCGGCCCCATAACTACATCATCTCAGAATGCCACAAACGCACATTTTGGGTAGCTTATATCGTTGACACTTATTTGAGCGTTGTGTTCGGCCGGCCCCGACTTTTCCAAGATGAGGATATCGACAAGGAGCTCCCTGACATGGTCAATGACGAGGACATGAATCCGCAAGGGCCTTCCATTACAGATGATTCAGGCGATTGCTATATTGATGCCTTGATACTTCATGCCAAGTATAGTATAATGCTAGCCTATTACGACGATCGCATACTTACCAGATTAGCAGAATTGCGCAAATCATCGGGAAGGTATCACGGGAGGTATACGCAATTAGCGACATGCCCAACCAAGATCGTTTGGCAGCTGCGCAACGGTTGTGTCAAGACTTGCACGAATGGTGGGCCAGCCTGCCACCACACTTGGGTACAGTAAGACCATCCACATTGATACCCAGTTTCCGGCGCCAAGCCATTGCTATGCGGCTGGCATACTTCCATGCTCTCATCCATGCCAATCGACCTTTCCTTCTGAGTGAAGGAGCATACGAGAACGTTGCGAAATGCATAACTGCCGCACAGAACAGTCTAGAACTTCTCAATAGAATGGCCGAGGATAGTACGTTATTTCATTCTTTCTGGTGGACTGATTATGTGATCTTCTGCGCGTTGGCTGTTGTGTATGTTTGGGAGATCCAGCGATTGACCCGAAGCATATATGGCAATGATGACCAGTCTTTGAGCAAGCTATTTGATCTCGCAGAGAAATGCCACGGCTATCTCAAGCGAGCATCAACAAGTGTATCACAAAACCAACGATACAGCGTTATACTTGATGAGCTACGATTTGAAGCGCAGAGATGCCGGACTGCGAGGGAAAATCTTCAAAATCGCCACCCAGGTAATCTCCATGGTGCTGAAGGACTTGTTCCAGATATTAGCCTCGCATTTCCGCAGGACGCGGAAAGTTGCAGCCCTCACACAGCATTTCTGCTTCAGGAGGCGAGCATTCCCAGTGTGCTAGAGAATCTCCAATTTAGTGATTGGCAGATGCTCGATTCATCGGTATGTATTGTGTGTGCAACCTTTTTGCAGCAAGCTAAAGTTACCCCAAGGCCTTCTTGCCATTATTGGATACAAACTACGTCTCTCCCACAAACTTTCCTGGAATTGAATGACTTCATCGTGTGTCTGGTGACCAGTAGAAGAACTACTGAAAATACATCCCCACTTTTGAACTTCAGCCTACGTAGATGAGAGGGCCGGACTTCACGGAAAAGACGGCTCGCAGCACCGAGAGTCCGAGGTTGCCAAGGCTGCTCCGTGAACGGCGCCAACTTTGCTTGCTTCCCCGGATTTTTTTTTTCTATATCTACCCCGTGGGGGTGCCAAGTGCTCCCTTCCCGAAAACGCATAAGATGATCTCGGTTTCTGGCATTAGTCTCTCCCATGATACGCCCTCGAGCCCAACGCCATTAAGATGACTGATAAGGACGCTGCCGTGATGCACCTAGAGGACCTCCCAGGTCAGGGAGTCTCTGCCGACGACATAGAGTTTCTGTCGAATTTCTCACCTGAAGCCAAGAAGAAAGTCGTCAGAAAGGTAACTGTTTTGATTTGGCGCTTGCGTGGGCAGCCTTACTAACAAATTGAATATAGGTTGATGTATGATGTTTTTTTCCGCCTCGCTTCACTCAATCAGAGAATGTGGTGACTGATTTCAACTTAGATGAGACTGGTTCCTATGTTTGTCCTTTTGTACTTAGTGGCATACATAGACAAAACGAATATCGGTAAGTCGACCCCCTCAACTCGAGCGTTCCAGTTTTCACACTCAGCAGGGAATGCTAAGATCGAGGGCCTACTCCCCAGTCTACACATGAGCGGCATACAATACAACATTGCCTTGTCTATATTTTTCATACCTTATGTCCTAGCTGGTACGAAACCTCCATGGGCAAATAGCAAACACATACTGACGGGCCTGAAGAGGTACCGAGTAACATAATACTAAATCGACTAAAGCGACCGTCGCAGTACTTAGGGCTACTGATTTTCTGCTGGGGTGTGATCATGCTTTGCACAGGCTTTGTTCGCAATTTTGCCGGTCTAGTGGTGATCCGATTTCTTCTGGGTCTTTTCGAGTAATTCCCCAAGCGCATTCAACAATGCCTTCTCGGTACTGACAAGCGTACAGGGCTGGATTCCTGCCAGGTGCTGTGCTAGTAATTTCGAAATGGTATCTTCCAAATGAGACACAGACTCGTATCGCTATTCTCTACACATCTGCTGCTTCTGGTGGAGCTTTTTCTGGTCTTCTGGCTTTCGCTATTGCCAAGATGGACGGTATAGCAGGCTACGAAGGTTGGCGCTGGGTAGGTCCTTTCCTTGGACGTCCTTTCATGGCTCCATTGACTGACTACCACACAAGATCTTCATCATCGAGGGTCTTGTGACAGTTTTCATGGCCGTTCTTTGCTACTTGCTCCTCCTAGATTCCCCGGCTCTGTCTCCCGGCTGGCTTACTCAAGACGAGATCCGATACCTCGAGGTACGACAGCTCGTTTCCAACAACCACAGTGGTCATCACGAAGGCTTCAACAAGAAGATAATCTTCAGCGTCCTGACCGATTGGAAAATATATCTTCTCATCCTCGGTAACTGGTCCAACGCCGTCCCCAACTACGCCCTCAAATTTAGTATGCCCGAAATAATCAAATCCATGGGCTACAAATCAGCCACCGCCCAGCTCATGACAATTCCGCCCTACACGGTCGGCGCCATATCAGCTTACGGCTTCTCCGTGTTCGCTGATCGTTTTTCCTGGAGAATGCCTTTTATCGTGGTACCCCAGTGCTCGCTCATAGCTTCATTCGGCATTCTATTCTCTAAAGCCGCCAGCATAGAGGAGAATATAGCACTGTGTTATTTTGCCATTTGCCTTGCCTGCTTTGGAATGTATCCCATCCTTCCTGGCGTTAATGCCTGGAATGTCTGCAACATTGTCAATCCTCACAAACGAGCTGTGGCTATTGGTTATCTTATCTGCGTTGGGAATGCGGGTGGTATCATCGGCAGCTATATTTACAAATCCGATGAAGAACCCAGGTACCCGACTGGTTATGGCACCTCACTTGCATTCGCTGCTGCTGGGCTTGTGGCTGCCTTGTGCTTGGAGTTTTGTCTGTGGAGGGCAAATAAGGAGAAGGCTCGGTTGACCGTGTCCGAGATTGAGGAAATGTATACTGAGGAGCAGCTTCGCGATATGGAAGAGAAGAGTCCTCTTTTCAAGTATACACTGTGAGGTACTTACCGGATTTGTTTATTAGGAATTTACAGACAGGATCTTGTTATACTATTATTATTACGCCTTCCGCACAGCTCTGAATTTCATGTCATTACAGCTCGCACCAAATTTTGAATATAGCTCTGCGTGGTCTCTAAGGGCGTCTAACCCAATCAAATTTAATCCCAGAAGTATTCTTAACAAAGATGGGCTCGAAAATATTCTACAAACTTCAATGCATCCTCAATCCCCCAAGTGAAGCGTAAGATGGTAGTATTGTAGATTGTAGTATTGAGTGAGCTGGACTTCAGATTGTGGAAGGGCACTTATAGAAAAAGACGAGGCATGAGTAGGGTTATAACTGTAGAGGGTGTTACTTGATCTCAATCCTATGTAAGCCCATGCTAGTAACAGACTGGTACATACGACCACAGGGTGTGGAAAATAGGGCTTCCCGTCCGCTCAGCCGTACTCAAGCCACACGCCGGGAGGTTAGTAGTTGGGTGGGTGACCACCAGCGAATCCCTTCTGTTGTATGTTTTTGTATTTTTTTGACCCCTAGTATTTGTGATATATATGAGATCAAAAGATTACCTCCCCTCCCCTTCCCTTTCCTCCTCGGCAGCGCAAGTGTGCCACCTTGCAAGTTGTTTGTGGCGTTGCGGGAAAGTTCAACTTGCAGATTCATATGTGGAACGTTCCTCGGCCGCTACCAACAACGGCCTTCTCTCCGCCTCCTCCTCACTTTCACTTCTCCCATCTGCTTCTGCCGCCTTCCGTAGAGCCAAGTACCCCAACACCCCCTGCCCGATCGCGAAAATGGCCTCATCAACGGTCATATACCCCATGAACATCCACCAGTGCAAGAAGACCAACAGCCAGGGCCGGGGTAAGAGAGGAGCATCGGGCGGCGGCGGATCGTCCTCACGTTCCTGCTGCCCTGGGGGCAAGCGGAAGATCCAGAGGATGGCTGAGAGCGCGAAGATAGCAGCCTGGAAAAGGCGGGAGCGGGCAAGAAGGCGGTTAAGATCTGTAGGGGTGGTCGGTGGATGAGACGGAGGTATCATCATGGCCTGTTCGCGGGGCTCCTCCTGCTGCTGCTGCTGCTGCTGTCTTCTTCGTTGTCCTTGCTGTAGTTGTCGCCTTTGGCGCTGTACCTGCTTAAAGATGCCCAGAACAGGGAGAATCACTGTCGTGAGTGGTAATAGAAAGTAGCAGTGGACGCCGCGGAGGAAAGGGACTACGTCCCGCTCCGGTAGCAGGCAATCGTGCGGATGGTTCGGTGGACAAAAGACGTCGGTGGTGAGGTCTAAGATGAGCGGGACCAGAGTGAACAGCAGGAAGAAGCAATAGAGAGCGAGGACCAAGAGAGTTCGCAGACGACGATGGGGGCGGGTCAGAGGGGAGTAGGAGAGACACAGCGCGAACCTAGGGTTGTTGCATTTACAGAAGTCAGCCGGGTGGTAGGCATTACAGCGAGCTGTGATGATGGGGCTGGTGGGCTGGGCCTACAAGATGTTGGACAATACCCAATCCCCCAATACTTGAGCGAGATTGACCCAGTCCAAGGGGGAGACAGAGACCGGCGCGGAGGGGAATTTGGAGACATCCCAAAGATAGGCTATGTCAAGGGAGTGAAAAAAGACATGCTCGGTGATGCAGAGCAGGTTGAAAAGGAGGTAGGCAGTGGAGATGCCCCTGCTGTCTTTCGTCTGCCACACATGCTTGATCTGGGGGACGAAGGAGGCCCAGGTTAGGGCAAGGATGATCCTGTTTTATCCTTGGTCAGCAATAGAAATACATCACAACAAGGGAAACATCTTGGCTGGAAAATATCATACACACTGAAATGGAAAACGAGAGTCAGCCCCATCGGACTAAAATTTTCTGGTGAGTGGGATCCTCAAAATGTGTGGAGTGTTGTGGGCTGCAAAAGATGAAGAAAAAGTTAAAAAGAGAGACTTCCCGTCTCATAGTTATATAAACCATGCAAGAGGCATGCCACTATTTTAGCGGGCCCTTACGCCAAGGCCCGGAGCCTCAGGAGCACCTGGGTATGCATTTCTTGATATGGCGTAGCGAATCAAAGGTAAGACGGATTGTCACTAAGACCGTTAGCTTGAGCCCATATTCACCAAATTTGCGAGGTAAGCGGTTTGGGCATTTGAACTGATGTGGTCTTAGGTCGCTCGGATTGTCTCCAACAGGCAGCAATGTACAGAAATTGCCCCCTTCCACCTCTAAAGCTCATATGAGTTTTTCAAACCTATACTGTTTTTCGAAGAGCATCGAAATATATGAGCGCCATTTCAGTGGGGTCAACCACAGACCGCAGTCTATTACATAGTGTGTTCGTCTAATAGACCCGAGTGTCCACCCCCCCCGAAGGCCTCCGAAAATGGAGGGGGAAAGAAAAGGGAAGAGAAGCCCTTGACTCATATAATTCTATAGGGTAGAACCTTACAAAATATACGTGCCTTTAAGCATCAATCTTCACGGCAGTTTGAAATGAGGTTTGGTTCTACGTAACAAGGTTCGATGCACAAAGAATCATCTCATTAGACCTTAAAACCAGAGCTCGGGGCTTCAAGTGGCTCAGGGACCAATTAAACTAAGGGGCCCATTCGCACTAATTTCTGACCCTTCGGAGCTGTATCCCTACTAAACTACTGCTTCCACTAGTTTATGGGTATCATGTAATGTACTCCGTATCGGTACGGAAATTACCAAGTATGGACCTTTTTGCGGTATTCATTCTGGGGCTTCCTGTGCTCAAGGAATAATTCTTTTACGATAGCCTGTCTATGCTACATAGCAAAACTATTCTGAACAGAATGAAGCCATGCTTGAGCCAAATTGAGCCAGAATGGATTCATAGAAGTGAGCTCCTGGATTACAATGTGATTAATATGGACTTCATAGGTTGGGGAATCGTAGACGCATACCTATCTCTATCCTATCGCTGGATCTAGAAGAATCAAGTAACTTGGATGAATTGCTTAAAGTTCAGATGACACACGAGTTGTCTTAGACATGTCATGTCGCATGTAGCAAGTTTGAAATTTGTCTCCTCCCATCGGCTGGTTCTATACAATCTCCAAATCCACGGGTGCCGCCGCAGGAATGAAAACGTTGGGCTGTTCGCCCGGCTCCCGTACCGTCCAACTTCCCGTGGCTGGAATTGTGACTGTCGTCTCCAAAAGGTCCTCCCGACTTCCCCAAACCCACCAGTCGAGCTCGAGGCCCTTGAAGAGACACCGGATCCCCTCCCCGACCCGGGCCTCCCCGCCATCGTTGCTCTCCATGTCCGTGAGCAAGGGAATCCGCAAGTCCTCGGACCACGTTTCTCCTGGACGCAGACTGGCAAAGCCCTTGTCGCGGCCTGGCGAAACTTGCATATCGGGGTCATCGACGAAGGCCCATCCTCCACCGCAGACGAACCCTTTCAGATTGACCCACCGATCCCGCCAAACCCAGAGCCCGACGTTCAACCCTGCCGTGTTGAAAGTAAATGGCCTACCACCGCTACCACTTGTTGGCACGTACGTCACATGAAGGGTCGCAAGCACGAGGTCATCCTGTAAAGCCACCTGGCTCTGAGGGCAACATTCGATTTTTGCAATCAGAGTGGGACAGCATTCTTGCGCTCTAAACAGATGGGTGCGTAGGGAGCTTAGCGTGTGCTCCAGGGGTAGTACAAGCAGAAGAGGAGCAAGGAAGATTCTTACCCGGAGATCAACGTCGGCACGATCGGCCTGTTCTCATCATCCTCGACCGTGAAGGATAAGAAGGGTCCGCCTGGCAAGACGACTTTAGAGTTTTCTACTTTGTCGGTCCAATTCCATGAGCCATATTGTTGACCGGGCCAGAGGAGTACATATCTCTCTCCCGTCTGTAGGTATGGAATAAAACGGTCGGGAATGACGTCGTAATATTGCTGGACGTTACCGGGCTTATGGCAATGGTAAGGGGAGAAGTGCCAATGTTCTAGTTGGGGGAGTGTGGTGTACTCGGGGAGTTTGACTGGGTGCAGCTCGCCCTGCGCGGTACGATGAAGGAGAATGAATCCGTTTGAGGTAGCAAAGCCATGGGTCTGCGGGTACCATGCAAAGACACAGTATCGGCTAACCTCATCCACCCGCTGTAGGGTCACATGAAATAGGTATGGGGCCGTGCGTGACAGTTTTTTCGGACCTTGAAGGGCGAGTGAAAAGGCAGGCGCGTCAGACCTATTGCAAGTGGCCACTAGGTTTAGTTATTGGATCGGAACATCGTTAAGGAGCGGGAGCAGCTCACCGACGGTCCTTCTCTGTATATTGCAAAAAGGGTGCCAATGATTCTTCCATTTTAGAAGAAGGAGGGGATGGGTAGTCTGCTATCGATTTTTGAAGTCCAAATGGAGCAGGCTGAAATGGGTTCGAATATCATTAGCATAGGAAGATTACGACGATAGGCCGAATGGTTTGTGTGCAGAGGGGGAATGGAAGCCAGGATTTATATCAATATGTGTATTGAGGAACGAGTGGGGGTGAGGAGAACTTCACCTGTCCTGAAGCGGGAAGTTCCGCTGACGCATTGCTCTTTACAACTCTGGCTAATCCACCGAACCCTGGAGCCTGTGCTTCGGACATTATCGCCAGATGAAGCACTACTCCGTGTGCCTCCGCCGTATTGGTATTAATGTGAATGGTATGGTACAGTAAAGATGCTTAATTTATCATTTATTACATTAACTGCTATGTCTTGCTGAAACTCATTTCTTGTTCTATATAATACCTGCAGTTCTCTAAGTCTAGTAGCTATGTGCTGTTCTGCGGATATATTATATAAGTGATATAAGTATTCAAAATTCCCGCGCAAATTATTATTCCTCACAGGATCCCACAATTGGTAGATTTACAATAGGAAGGTGTTCGGAGTAGTTCCAAATGCACTACTTTCCCGATAGCATGACGCAAGATTGGGAAGCCGAAGTATCAACAACTCATTAGAGGCTCTGGGGATTACGCTGAAGTTTTCTGGTTCCTAAGGCTAATGGATCACGCATCTACGGTACAATTGTAGAAGATTGCTAGACTCTTTGTGTTTGGGGGCGCTAACAGTTAACCTTACATTATCCATAGACTTGCATGTCAATGATCAACCACCTGGATCATCTGGCATACCCTAGGCAGAGTCACCGTACTGAAGGACGTCATATTAATGCTCGACTGCCAGCTATACATATATACACTACGGATAAGTACACAGACGTCAGGTGTCTACTCGCTGGTGAGGCGGCGCAGCAGTTGACTAAATGAATTGCTAGTCGGATAGTAAGTGGCAGAGTGGGCAAGAGATTGTAAACGATTAACATTCTGCAGTTGCGTACATCAATCTGGGACTGGGTAAGCCATTTGAACTGACAGAATTAAAGCTGTTCGCGGGCATCAATCTGGCCTGGGTGTCGTGGTCGGCTCAATAAGAGTGGAACATGTTGCTTAGAACTTGAGGATTTTCACATCATCCTTGAACGTGCCATCAAACAGTACCTTAACATCAACATGAACCCAAATTTCTGTACACCATATTAGCAGAATAGCGCCAGAAGAAGCCATTTAGGATTGACTGTACCGTTTCCATCCTTCAAATAGAGACGTATCTCTCCCTTTGCAAGGAAGAGATCAAACTTTCCCACGATTCCGTCTTTCAAGTTTCCAAATAGGTTCAGAATATGTGCTCCAAACACCTCTAGCCTAACCCCGGCCTCCAAGGTGTTTGTATCAAAGTATCCAACTAACTAAGAAAGGTCAGTTTTGTAACATGTACCTGAGAATAGTCTAACATCCCTTTATTGGCCCGAACGGGAACTCAAAGTCAGGGTCACTTTCTATAATAGCAGGAGAGCCTTCGGGTAGCGAATTAACTGTAGGAATTTGCGTGGCAGTGTAGACATTCGGCTCGCCGTCTTGCGAGTGTTCCTTTGCCACAGAGACAACAAAGCCTACCTGACTTAGCCTTGGCTAGTATCGGGATCTGTTATACGCACCAGCACGAACTTCATTGGTAGTAGCAGACATTTTGTTGTACTGTTGTGAGTGTCGAGTTACTTTCAACGAGTCTTAGACATAACTAGCTTGACTGATAATAAGCCATTCAGTAGGAATGTGGGCCCAATTTATAGCTCAAGCTCACAGGCTACCTGCTTGCGAATCAACCTATCAACTTCAGAACCATATGGTAAAGGCCTAGACTGATCCCTTTTACGAAGTATCATTCCTCTCATCCGCAATAGAACGACATGGCGTTCTCTACGTTGCAGGGATATGCTCAGCAAAGCAGATGACAGCTATGTGGTAGATTAGAGCTCCTAGATACCATGGTAAATTTGTGATCACACGAACTTCCTCGGGTTAGATGATGGCGTGATAAAGACACTCAAGCTTGATGACTCTCGACGCCAGATAACATTGAGTGAATCAATGGCATTGGGCCAATCGAAGCACTGGGACTATTATTCGGCCTTCTCAGCTGATCTTCATGGCAAGCCACTTGCGACATGATTGTTGCCTACTTTGCAACTTTATGTTGCATTCGACTGAAACCTTAGTATGTGGAAGTCGTTACAAGGTCATCTGCAAATTATTGGCTTGAAATTCCATTTCATACATCTTTCGACTTATCCTTTTCTTCCTAGGCCTAGAACTTCGTGCCTTTTCACTAACAACACGTGGGTTCAGACCAGATTCACTTGCTAAGCTCAAAATAGACTATTAACATTTCCTTGACAATTTCCCGACTGCAAAAACTTTCACAGAGTGCAATATGAGGCCGGTCGGAAGAAAAAGACCCTGCTGTTTGCGGAACCTAGCACTCAGCGTGCAGGTGGTCCACTCGCTCCTTGATCAAATCTTGCATTCACTACATACATGCGGATATCCGCCTTGTCACCACCCTCATCAGTATTCTTGACTGTGAATTTGATCTCACCCGCTCCATCTTTATCAATGATAGTGCTTCCAATGTGCCGTCCGTCTAGATCGTCGGTATTTTCACTGATACCTTCAAACAGCTTCGTATCATAATTCACCTTGACTGACTGATCTCCTGGTGTTAAGTTGAAGGTTACATTCAACTCGACACGGATCTCGCCGCCCATACGTTCCACCCAGGACTGGTATCCCGTGTAGCGATCAGGGGCACCCAGAATCACTGGTGGAAAGGATCGCATTCGCGTGGCGTACTCATGTGGGAGGAGCCATTCATCGTCGGTGATATCCATAACACCGGAGAGGCTAACGAGTCGTAGGGAAGACATTTTGGAAGATACTTATGGCAGTGTCTGAATGTCATGAGTCTGGGATCGGCGTAGTACTGGGGAATCTAACCGGTTTTTATCGGCATTAGATTTCCGTGAGCTTGGCCTCTTTCGTTCAAGATCAGTTCTGCAAGTATAGAATACGATTCAATCCCTGGTTTATCGTGAACTTTAGAGCCGCCCCACAAGTTAAGGTAGTCATTTCCGATCCTTAAATTAGGTTTCGTGGGGTTTCATAACCCAAAGTAGTACCAATTTAGGACTCAACTGCATTTGCTTTAGAGGAAATGGTCATCTCATTCCACTGGCGCCTTTTGAACCTAACTTAATTCCTAATTGATATACACAGAGTATGAAGGAGCATAGAAAACTATGGTTTATCAGTCTCTGCAAGTTTCACGAGCAGGTGCCGCTAGAACACTAGGGTATCAAGGAAGGTTTTCCGCATCTTGGGAGCTGTAATCCGTTGTTCCAACTTAGCTGGATTAATTTTCCAAGTCTTTGCCTTGTACGCCCAAGGACTTTATGCGACATGAGCCCAGAAGGCGGTTAGCTATGGGCCAGAACATACTCGAAATATAGTTCTATGTATCGCTACTGATGCAATTTAGAGCTTCGGGATTAAAAAAAAAATTCAATCTTGGTTTTCAATAGCGTTGTTTGGTAAAGGGAGTTTAAGGTTGACTTCAGAGATCCTGCATGTTCCTAAGCATCACGCGACTTTAAATCGATGGAAAACGTCAATACCATCCCAATGTGTCTAGATGGTAATGCCATGGGTGACCATGTGAGCTACCTCCTGCCCTGTATGTGATAAGAAAGATTAAGATGGCCATGTTATTAAACCCTCTTCTGCAATATCTTAATGTAAATTGAAGTAAGTATACAAAGTCCAGTCACTTCCCGATCAGAAATTGGATTTGAGGATGGAAAGATCGCTGAGAAGAAATATATCTGCGTGATATTAGAGTTATTGCAGTATATTAGATGATCTTTAAGTCATTAAAGTGTTAAGGTTTATGGTCGTTGGAAATTAATCACGTAGGCTTCGGCCTCTCAGAACGAAACATGTCTTAGTACATCATTGTCATCTGCGCTCGCTTTAAGGGGCGCAGGTCCTTGTCTTGATGGGCTTCGGGGTTCTAGACGCATGTCAAGCCGAAAACGGAAAAGAAACAGTCAACCACACGAATTGCTGTCTGAACTGACCTCGTATTTTGCCAAATGGTGCCCCTCAGGCTAGGTGACCACGGTTCAGAAGCCGAACCTTAAATTTAAATGTTTGACTCTAGACGTCCTGGATCAGCCGGAGACGGCCAGAATTATCCTGCAAGGCCTGCAGGAATCCAAGCGGGCGTTCGCTGTATACTCCCAGCCATTCACGCCTCCGAAGGTGGAAACTTTTGCAAAGCACATCTAGTAGCATCACACCAGTCGCGTTGTGGTTGCGGGATGTAGCTGCGAAGAGGGGGTAAAGGGTATTTACTGGAAGGGCCTCCTCACATCCCATTGTTTGGTACGGAGGGAGCTTCGTTCTCCGATCGCTCGTAGCGAAAATTTGATGTATTAAGGCTTTGTACGTGGTCAAATAGATATACAAGGGTCCTCCGCCCATATCATTCCTTGGCCCGCTATTCGTGAGCTGGAACTGAAAGGCCGTAATTGGTTCGTCTGATGTTAAGTCTGAGCGGAATCATTGGACATAGGACATATCTTCTGAACCAGATTCCTTCAGCATGGAGGTGATCCGGCTTCTTTCGTCTGGTCTGGCAGATACGCCCAGATACCAAAGTTCTACGAGTCCGCGTATGTTTGGCTAATACCAATCGCTTTTTTCATGTATAGGAGTCAATGTTTCGATACATTCAACTCATGGTTTACTCGAAACCACCGACCGTTGTGACAGGCCATGTATGACAGGGCCCTAGAGAATGCTTGTCTTGTCAATGTGTGGGAATGTGGGAATCGGAGAAAGCAAGATAAACAGGTAAAGAGTGATATAAATATGATTTAGAAATGGTGAGAGATGGTGGAACATAATGAAGGAATGACAGAAAGAATATCCTGCATATTATACACTGGATGGGATAGCTGCAACATTTCCATTGAAGAAGCTACTTAAGGTCAGTTCGGTAGCTGACCTAAATGAGTAGATCCCAGTGAATCTTCAGAAAATTTAAAATGGGGGATTAAGCTAAGCTACCTGGGACACTCCGGTCTTTCATACACATTTATAAACTGTCAAGATGAAGGATCAAGAATATATAGATTTAATCTATCTAGATCTCAAGAAAATGGTTAGTGGTTAGAAGAGATAGTGGTCGGAGACCACGCAGGAAGAAAAAGCAAAGAATCAGCTGACAGCTGTCTGGCTGTAGTAAATATCTCAACACCGCTCCCCAGACAGGCAGATCCGAAGCTATTATATATATATAAAAAGATCTTATCTCAGGATTTCAAGATATTTAAAATATTCGAAGTGCTTAATTAAATAACAGAAATGTAAAGTAATCAAGATTACACATAAAAATACTTTAAGTATAATTTTCCATAGAATCAAGTATAGGAATCAAGGATTTCAATAAATTTTACTAATGGTATTTCTCTATAACTTTTTCCTGTGTTTCGAGCGATTCAAAAGTATGCGAGATTATTAAAGATATCTTTTGAAGAATTATTTAAAGCATCATTTAGGTGGCCGTCTGGATAGCTGTTTAAATAGTTATTTGGAAGAGTCTTTGCATGTAAGCCTTTAAATCAGCAAGTACATAGTCAACTGTTTTAATAAATTTTAAAATCTTTAGTAATCTAAGATACTAAATAGATGATAATAACTTCCAGCAGTCAGACCGGATTTGGGAATTTAGATAATAATAAATAGAGACTGTATAAAAGACTTCTTTATAATAAGAACACCTCCTATTCCTGGAAGACTTAAATACGCGTTTACACATATATTCAGTGTGATTTACCCCTGGGGGTGGTTTTCCTTATATAATAGATAATGTTTTGGCTGCCTTCCTCTTCGGAGAGGCCTGCTTTAATAAAGGCTTTGAGACTGGAAGCTCCGCTTGAGATTTTAAGACTTTTGGCAGGGGCACTGGCTCTGGCTCTGGCTCTGGCACTGGCACTGGCACTGGCACTGGCTCTGGCTCTGGCTCTGCTTTTAACGAATCTTGGAACTTTTATAGTCTCTATACGGGAGCAAATGAACAAGATCTTGGATCTTCTCTGTAGAGTCAATCTTGCTCTGTTCGCGTAATAGTAATATAATAAGTTTTCTTTAAGAGTTTGAGGTATTCGTCCCACTCTTCAGTGGTTGTGTCAAGATAAAGAAAGAACTCAGGCTGTAAAAACAGCGAGACGCGTTGAAGCTTTTCAGAACTAATAGTAGGCGTTATTTTGAATCAAGAAAAAATGAGAGACATAGAAGCCGGGCTTATAATCTGTCAAGACAGAGGGTCAAGGATATATGGATTTGATCTATCTAGATCTCAAAAAGATGGTTGGTGGTTGGAAGAGATGGTGATCAGAGACCACGCAGGAAGAAAAGGCGAAGGATCAGCTGACAGCTGCCTGGCTGCAGTGAATGTCTCAACATAAACGGTATCTCTTCGAAGGACAGAGCAGATACATAACCCACCCTTCTCCCTGGATGATGAGAGGGATGTGATCAAGCAGCTATCTTTCAACAGTAAAGTGACGGCTTCATGCTAATGTTGTGTAGAAGATTCCTACCCAAGTACATTTACTTTTCTGATTGTATTGTCCTAGGTGGTGTCCCCGGACAGTGCTCGCACTTGAATCATTCGTGCTGGCAGTTGCCACAGTGGTAATCGTGGATGATTTCCCCATTGTTATTGAACTACTCGATCAGAACATACTTTTTGTCGTGTCGGCGTCCGCAAACATTGTCTGTAACAGCGCAAAAAGAATTTATAGCAGATTACTTTCAAAGAGACCATATTACTGAGATACGGGAGCGCTAAAATCAAGAGCCTTTTCTACAATACCGCAAAGCAAGAGAACCCAAATGCGCTAATCGCATCCGAGCTCGGCGCGACTGTGAATATGCGTGGTCGTCGTATCTCAATTGGTAGAGTAACTAGAGGAGAGCGTGACTGTGGTAGTAGAGTTGCTGGCGATTGTCTCGGCGCAACTTAAAGAAGTAATACCGACCGAAACGGTGGGCTCCGCCGTCCTACATCTTAAATCGCGCGCACTAATCCCCAACAACAGGCGATAGAGATGCCAGTCCCAGCTCTCCGTGTCAGGAAACGTATGTAGCAGACGGTGAGGCTAGAGTGGGACAATATATTGTCATCGATATCACAAAGTCGCCGGTCACAAAGGCTGGAATGTAGCCATCTGGACATTCACCAGCGTGATAGTATGGCAGCGAGGAAGTCCAGCCAATAAATAAGCCTGGATGACTGAGCAGATCATTAAGCCTACCACTATATGAATCTTTGCTCGGATTAAGTAGGCACATACGACCACAGGGTGTGGAAAATAGGGCTTCCCGTCCGCTCAGCCGTACTCAAGCCACACGCCGGGAGGTTAGTAGTTGGGTGGGTGACCACCAGCGAATCCCTTCTGTTGTATGTTTTTGTTTTTTATATAGACTTATATTTAATGAATGACATTACACATTTGTTACATAGAGCACTCAGAAAATGCCTAAAGTTAGTTAGATAGCTAGGTATTGAGCAAGTTTGTTGGGTCCCTCAGCTTCCACACTATTTATACCAGCCTGGTTCTAAATAGCGGCAGATAGGGCGATGACTGCATACTTCACGCAGGCATGGCACACCCATCGCCTTGCAAATCTATTCCACCGCTCAATTTGAAAGATCGAAGGAGAGCTGAAGATAGTTCACAGGAGCTGCACCTTGGATGTTCATGCTAGAAGGGCCTTCGCAACAACACGAATCCATCATGGTGGCTGGACCCAGGTGAACTTTCTCGGACCACATCGCTTCATGTCCACTCGCTACATT